TGGCACGCCTCCGAGAGAAGACGAAGGTACGCAAAGTCCTCATCAGGGAGTTGCTTTTTGCAGACGATGCCGCCCTAACTGCCCACACTGAGGAATTACTACAGCGGCTTATCATCTGCTTCGCTAAAACCTGCACCGAGTTCGGTCTCACCACTAGCCTGAAGAAGACCAACATCATGGGTCAAAATGTCAGCAGCACTCCTCAAATCTCCATCGGTGACCACACCTCTGAGGTCACCGACAATATCTCCAGCAACCTCTCTCTGGATTCCGAGCTGAATGTGCGCATTGGCAAGGCAGCGACAGCTATGGCTCGTCTCGCAAAGAAAGTTTGGGGCAACATCATGCTGACGACCAACACAAAGATGAAAGTGTCCTAAGCGTGTGCACTGAGTACTCCTCTCTATGGAAGCGAAGCATGGACCCTCATCTCCCGTCAAGAACGCAGACTCAACGCCTTCCACCTGCGTTGCCTCAGACGACTCCTGGGCATCACTTGGCAAGATTGCGTCACCAACAAGGACGTCTTGGCCCAGGCAGAAATATATATCAAGCATGTTTGCCACGCTAACGCAGAGACGACTGCGCTGGTTGGGCCATGTCTGCCGCATGGATGACGGCCGCATTCCAAAGGATGTTCTGTATGGTGAGTTGGCCACTGGCTCCAGACCTACAGGACGGCCCGCATTGCGCTACAAAGACGTCGGTAAGCGCGTCCTGAGGGAAAGCGGCGTCGATCCAGCGGACCTCGAAACGGCGTCCTCGGACCGCATCAATTGGCGGTCCACCATGAAGGCCGGCATCGCAGAAGCAGAACTAGGGAGAGAGACCAGTTGGGAAGAACGGTGGTTCAGGAGACAGCAGAGAATACACTCAGCACCCAGCAGCACCCAGGCCAGCATGTTCACCTGCAGCACCTGCAGTAGATCCTGCCTCTTAAAGATTAAACTGTACAGTCACAGCAGGTTTTGCAGCTCTACTACAGACTAATCCACGGCGCAAATACCGTGGTCTTTTGAGACTGACGGATGCCAGCAACAACAAGGGAGGATATCGCTTATGCCACAAAGTGTTGTGAAATGTCAATTCGTGCTTCATCAGTTAATGTTGCGCCGTGTTAAAAAAACCCGCATAATTTTGAACAAGTAAGAGGAGCGCAATATAGAAAATTTTGATTCAAAGTAATATTATTTTTGACAGGATCGTATTAAAAGGAACCCTCCTTCAAATTTCAATTAAAAACTCGACCATCGTGTATCGTCATTGATTATAATTTATTTCACATAATTAAGCGCGCACAACGCGACAAACGATAATTGCCTAATTACCGTATCACTGACCAATTGACACAGAAACAACTGTGATAAGACATTATCTGAAGGCCATCGGATAAATATTCTGTCGTATTTCTTTCTGTTATCTGAAGATCATAAATGGACAATTTTGTATTACTTTGCAGATTTCGAACTGCATACTACATATTATATTGATTGATCATTGCTTCAATTATACGCCACGCTTCTGCTACCAAACGGAATAAAGTTGTTTGAAAACCGATAGCCTATTGATTATTGTTATACACCGATACAGTCGAAATCCGTGAGAGTCCTCCAGGAATGGCAGAAGAAGCGAAGAGAGAAGAAGCAAAGAGAATTAGGACCTCAGCCAAGGCACGATTCACGAGGAAACGAAATGAATTCTTTAAGTCCGTCGAGGAAAACAAAGGTATCGAAACAGTTAAAAGAACATTTGCGGACTTACATGAAGCTTGGAATATCGTCGAAGATAAGCATGATATTTACATGATACACTTAGCCGAAGACGAAATAAAGCAAAACGAAGCATGGATAAACGAATTACAAGAATTGTACGAAGAAGCAGCGACTACTCACACGCAGTACGTCAACGATCAAACCTTACACGAGCAGAAACGAGTGGAAGAATTTCACAAACAAGAATCAATGAGACTTGAACAAGAAAAACTCAGACGACTATTGGAACAATTTAGAATAAAAAAGAAGTCCATGGGAACTATCTTTGACACATTAGTGAAACACGCATACGGCACGATGGAATCACAAAATAAAGACGTAAACGCTCCCGAAGCTTTTCGCAAAACCGAAAGAAATTTAGATATCGCGCTCGCGGACTGTAAGACATTGCATAACACAATGCTCGAGCTACTTGACCACGAAAACGTCGAAAAGGAAATCGAATGGATTCGAAATATGCACGCGCGCCATCAAGAGATCAGTGGCCGTATCGAAGCATTTATCTCGACTAAAAGAAACGATAACAAGGCGAAAGACAAAGGCAATCCGCTACAACTCGTAAAAATCAAAATGCCGTCATTTCACGGAGATGTAAGAAATTATCCACAATTCAAAACAGACTTTGAAAAACAAATCATGCCGTCAATTAATGTCGAGAACGCACCATATGTTCTCCGATCATATCTTGGAAAGGAACCAGCCGATACGGTAAAAAGCGTCGATGATGATATTAATGCGATGTGGAAGAGACTGACCGAAAAATACGGCGATCCTGCAAAAGTCGCTGACGTCGTAATGTGTGCAATTCAAAACACGAAACCTATCAGAGAAGGCGAAAACAAAAAATTCGTCGAATTTATCAACGTCATCGACGATGGTTACCGAGATTTAAGAAGATTAGGTGTAGAGAAAGAAATAACCACAACCAGTTCTGTGAGCATAGTAGAAAGAAAATTACTAAATGATGTGCAAAGAGAGTGGGCGAAACTGGTAAGCTCCGAACACAGTTCCGTCGATAAAAAAGACAAGTTTCCAAGTCTATTAAGATTTCTTCTTGAACAAAAACAAGCAATAGAATACGAAAACGTAGAACTACGTTTAAACAGCAACCCTCCAGCAAGGGGCTCACTTCATTATCTAGAGAAAAGGAATGACAAAGTCACCATCCTAGAAAGACAAGATACATCACGCTACAAGCGAAACAAATGCCTATACCATGAAGGTGCTAATCACTGGACTAATGAATGTAGACTTTATCTCTCAAAACCAGTACAAGAAAGGCGTGACACATTAAAGGAAAAGGGAGCATGCTGGTCCTGCTTAAAACGGGGTCACAGAACTCAAGACTGTAGAGGCAAGAAACCATGTGGCACCGGTATCGCGGAGGTCACGGGTTCGAATCCCGTTGAAGCCCTGATTTTTTTTTTTCAGGCTTCTTCTTTCCAATTGCTTAAATTGGAAAATTTNAACTCAAGACTGTAGAGGCAAGAAACCATGTGGCGTTAACGACTGCAAAAGGTTTCACCACAAAACACTACATGAAGAAGAACAGGACAAAAAATCGCCAACTAACATTGTTTCCGCAGGCGGTACTGCAAGTGTATGCAATAACGAAATTGAAACGTGCTCACTCCAAATACAGAAGATACCTACAAAGAATGGATTCGCAAACGTCTTGTGGGACACGGGAGCGTCATTATGTTTTATCACAAACGCAAAAGCAAGAGCTGAAAACCTCAAGGGTATCAAAACGCAACTGTCAATTATCAAAGTAGGCGGAGAAAGTGAAAACGTGGACACCTTTAAGTACAAGCTCCCACTTATTGACAAGCAGGGCAAAACAGTCGTATTCGACGTTTACGGAATCGACAAGATAACCTCCCCCATACCAGCAGTCGACATAAAAGGGGTCTCTAAAATATTGAAACACGTATACGAGGACGAATTAATAAGGCCCATCGGAGAGGTTGATACCTTAATAGGCTATGAATATTGGTATACACCGATACGTTCGAACACAGACTTCCATCCTTTAAAGGAACAAAGTTCTGGACATCTACTTTTATTGAGAAATCAATTCGGACGATGCTTAGGTGGAACACACCCAGTTCTCAAGGTAATCAACGAAAAGTCCCTCATTGGAACTATGCACGGCCATCATGTCAAGATGGCAAAAATCGAAGACTTCTACAACATGGAGAATCTCGGGATACAATGTAAGCCTCGCTGCGGTGGATACAAGTGCGGTAGGTGCTCACTCGGTAGCAACACCTACACAATCAAGGAAGAAAAGGAGTTAGCATTAATTGAGAAAAATCTGAGCTATGACGCAAAAGGGAAATTCTGGACTGCAGAATACCCTTGGATCAGAGATCCTTTTGATCTCCCAGACAACAGAAGGTCAGCATTCGGCATGATAATATCAACCGAAAAACGACTTTCTAAAAATAGGAAACACGCTGAAATTTATCAACAACAATAGAATGGAGAGTGGACAATGGAGAGTGGACATTGTAAAGTCTTCTTCCTACTGCATCTCTCCATCGCTGCATCACTCCAACAGGATCTGTCCTCAAAAATGACTGTCTGATCCGTTCTCTTTGCACCCGATGTCCTTTACTATGTAGTAAGCCTTTCGCCATCCTAATGCCAATGTTAGGATGAGACTGTTTTGCAGATCTCAACAAGTTGTCTAGTTCTTCATCACTCAGGTTACTAAACGTACCTGAAGTAAACAAGGTTTCCTTGGATTTATTGAAATTCAAACTGTTGTTAACCTAAACATGCATTACCTCTGTTACTGACGTCGTAACTGATAAATTATTTACCCACCCCATCCCCACGGCCTTCAATTCTACATAAGCTTACACTTTCTTTATAAGTAAAGCAAGTACTGAGTGAACTTTATTTATTCACATATCGCAGATGAGCTAAGGCTGGTTTAAATGCAGATGTGAAGTTAAAAATTAGAAAAAGAGAAATAACTTAAAATTTAAAATATGCAAATGAGAATTAATATTACATGAAAAATAGCAGAATGAAATCTATGGCATTAACGATCAACAGCAACAGAAAAGGACTTCGTGGTAATAGTACTAATTCCAACCTAGTAAACTTTCAAAATATAGGTACATATCACAGAAAATAAAGAGCAACCTTTTACAGGTAAGCTTAAAAGCTCTCACCAGAAACACTCAAGCCAAACGCTGACATTCTCCTTTCGACAGTCCTCTGTCCTACACCCAACAAAACGCCGATTTCCGACACTTTGAAACCCTGGTCCAAGAGAAATGATAATTGCTCTTGGGGTATTTGAAACGAAGGTCGTCCTCGAACCCCAGTACGACGCAGCTGTCCCTGATAACCATGACGAGCTTGGGTGCTGTGATTTGCTTCAATGGCCACAATAGTCTCGTACAGACCACTCATTACGTTCACAATGTCATCAGGAACATCGAGATTAACCAGCATCCTATTTATATAATCCAATCTTAACACTATCGACCCGATTTCGCAAGAATCTTCCAATCTTTCGATCCTCACAACCAGGTCATTTATGGCTTGCACAACACTGCAGAAATCCGCCATTTTGACCCACCAGATCCAGGTCCTTGTGGACGTGACGTAACCTTTTGACATTTGACACTTTTTGGCGGAAATTGTACGCCGTTCGCAAAGC